CCCCCTCCCCTCCCCTGCCGTCCTTGCCTGCCCTGCCGTGTGCTACTGACGGCTGCCTGGCGGGCGGGCAGCTCATATGGGTTCTCAGGTCACATGTCGTCCCAGAGACCCTCACGAATTTCCTCAAAGGCCTCGTAAGGCTCTAGCGCGGGGAGAGGAGGGGCGACCGGGGGGCCGGCGGACTGACACACACACAGACAGACACACACAGACAGACAGACAGACAGACAGACATACAGGCAGGCAGGCACAGACAGACGAGGGGTGCAGGCGACAGGTGCAGAAGAGGCCGAGTGAAGGTAGGTCGCTTACGTAGAATGTCGACACGCCAAACGCAGTGGCCTCGCTCTTGAGCCTCTCCCGCTGGCCCGCTAAATCGCCAGTCAGACCGCTCAGATGCGACTGGCCAACACACCACAACACACACCAGACCACACTACATGACGTCACACGGCCCATCGTGAAGTAAGCACGCACCTCTGGTTCCCATCCGTTGTCCTCCTCGTTGTGTCCTGCCCAGCTGACGAGGAATACGAACTGCTCGCCTGCGTCAGGGTTGCCGGCGAAGTATGGGTCGTCGTCGGACTGCCGCCGGCGGCACTGCAGCAACGCCTCTACTATGTAATACTGCACCTCGGGACCATTGATCTAACACACACAGAGACAGAGAGGGAGGGAGGGAGGGAGGGGGGAAGGGGCACACAGACACGGGTATGCGATGGGCAGGGAGCCGTCAGTGTGTCTTGGCATGTGTGTGAGGGGGTGGGGTGGAGTAGGTTTGGGCGTGTGTACGTATAGGATGGACTCTCCATCTGGAGACTCGTCGGCCTCCCTCTTGAGAATGTTCAACTGCTCATCCATCCATCCATCCATCCACAGCACACACCAATCGTGGTCATGAGAGTCTTGTGTACGTGTGTGATTGGTCCTCTCTGTCAGCAGATGCATCCACACACACAGACCTGCTCGCGAAGGTCGCCAAACAGAGTCTCTAAGTGCTCCTGATGGATGGATGGATGAATGGAGGCATTTGTGTCACTCATTGTGTTGCTCACCTCCGGCTCCCACGTGGCTTCTGCGATGTCATAGCCCGACCACTTGACATAGAAGCTGTACACATCACTCGCCAAACCCTGTACTCAACACACACACACACACACGAGCCACACACACACACACACACACACAGACAGACATGCACAGAAGACATAAAGCGACTCATGGAAAGAGCTCAGCCAGCCGCTCGTTCTTGGCCGCTGCTCACCGCGAAGCCAGAGGCCGAGTATTTGACGCATTTCATGAGGTGCTCGACAACATAGAGGTTGGACGGGTGGGCGGCCTCCTCAGACACATCTTCCACGTTGACCTCGTAGCTGGGCTGGTCACCGTCGGCATCAGGATGCTCTGAATCGGGCTGAACGGCGACAGGAACGGGGGGAATGAAGGAGAATGTTGGCAGACCGCCATGATTCGGGCTTACCATCCTTCGCCGAGTGCGCTGGCATCAAATGGCGTTGAGGGTTTCGGAATCCTGCCCCCTCCTACCTCTTTCTCCCTCCAGCGATCACTGCGAGCTCCAAATAGGCGAGCTCGTCTTGTTAGTGGGAAGATGGTGGACAACGCTGTGACGATTGAGGCCCTGGACCCCCTCATCCACCTGACAGCGCCTCCATCTCTCGCATCGATTCATTGTCGAACGCCATCGCCGCACGTCACACTCATCCCACTGGCAGATCGGAGCGGCCTGTACGTCCACAGGGCCGTCTGGGTCAAGGCTGTGCGCGGGAGAGTGGATGTGGGCGGCTACCGACTGGATGCGCGGGAGGAGGGGCGGTACGTGCGGCTGGGTGTGCCGAGCTGGGGAGCGGCGTATGTGGTCAGGGCTCTCAGGGATGGCGATGGTGGAGATGATGGAGCGGAGGGCAAGAGCCCGGGGGAAGGCGTGCTTGAGAAGGTGCGATGGAGGGATGGACAGATATACGCGCTCTCTCATCTGCGGGTCTGTTTGCCTGTATGTGTCTGTCTGTGCAGCTGCGGAGCAGCGGTGTGAGGCCTAAGGTGGACTCCGTGCTGCAAATACTCGACCCAAAAGTGACACAACACACACACACATGCACACGCACACAAAGAAAGCACATCGCCACATCAACGTCGTGTCCATTTCTCTCCCATGTGTGCGTGTGTGTGTGCAGGTCTTCCCCGTGATAGTGTCCGTGAAGGTGTGCCCCTGGACGTCCGGCAGCAGCGGGTGGGAGCCGTACAGCCTGCACGATGCACTCACCCCCCTGGCCAAGCCCATGACGGCGTCCGACCCCCTCATGCTCTCCGAATTCGCATCTGGATGGGAGACCGAGAGAGAAGATGGCACAGGCAAGGACGACCCCACACACAAGTGGACGCCGCCAGTGCTGCACATGTCTGACCAATGGTATGGATGGTACATCCATCCATGGTGATGGGGGTGGGGTGAGCGGATGTCGATACGGATGTCTGTTTGCTTTGTGTGGTGTGTGTCAGGAATGCAGCTGTGGAGCAGTGTCGGTCTGAGTGCGGCGAGCGGCTGGCGTGCCACCCCCCTGCTGTGGTGGTCGCCGGGCCGAAGGGTGCGGGCAAGTCGACCCTGTGCAGAGTCCTCACCAACACGTTCCTCAACGCACACCCAAACCACGTGGTTGGTGAGACTCACTGCAGCAAGTATTTGGCTGGCACTTAAAGTGAATCAGTGGATGGATGGATACATGTGTGTGTGTGCCTGTTGTGGTATGTGAGTAGGTGTATTACTTGGAGAGCGATGTGGGTCAGCCAGACTGGGGCCCAGCCGGACTTGTTGCGCTCTACAAGGTGAGGGAATGGCGAATGAAGGGCAGCCACCAGCACAGCGCACCTTTCGGTATTTCTTCTGCCTCATACCATCAGGTTGAGAGGCCTGCGTTGAGTTCAGGCCACAACAACATCCACACAGCGCCACACATACACGCTGTCTTCTTCGGAGGTCAATAAATCTACACACACACACATACGTCATCACATGCGCACGCTTTCTATTTCTTCTCCTGGTTGCAGCCATCAGCCCATCCCGCAACCCGATGCACTTCCGCCGTGCCGTGCAGCGGTGCCACGCCGCGTACCAGGCCCTCGTTCAGCAGAGCCAGCTGCCCCCGTCCACCCCACACACACCACAGACACCAGCCGCTTCCCCATCAGACAACAACACAGACACCATGGGCATGGGCGGGGATGCCGCAAGCACCACCACCGAGAACGTCATGCGGCGGGCGATCGACCACCTCCCCGGCCCCCTGGTTGTCAACACGCCCGGGTGGGTGACCGGTCTTGGTCTGGAGCTGCTCAAGGCCACCATCAGCTGTGTGGAGCCCGATCTGGTGGTCAAGCTTGGCATGACGAGCAACCTCGACGAGGCTGCTGATCAGGGTGTGGGTGGCGTGATCGACTTGACCAAGAAGGACACGCACGTGATCGACGCGCCCGCAACCACAGCAGCCACAGCAGCAGCAACCATGCCCACACCTGCAGCAGTGGAGCTCCGATGGCTTCGCTTCGCCGCCTACTTCCAGCCTCGGTTTGGGCTGGCCCTCTCGGTGCCTCTCAAGGCGAGCGGGCTGGATATCGACGAGATGTTCCAGTCGCCGGTGGTGGTCAAGATGGGTGGAGGGGAGGTGTGTGGGGTGGGTGGAGTCGATGATGGAGCGCAGGAGGGGCCGAGGGTGGTCAGCTACCCTCTTGAAGACCTCCAGCTTACCGCGGTGAGTGAGTCCGGAATGATCCATGCATCCATCTTTGTGAGAAGAAAACATGTACGTGTATCTGCATATCAGATGTGGCACCTAGAGACGTCCCTGCCCCCCCAGCCGCCCTCTCTCTCCCCCACCCTCCCCTTCGACCTCCCCGGCGCAGTTGTGGGTCTCTGCTGCCGCGAGGATCCGTCAGATGAGCTCATCTGTGTGGCGGTGGGGTATGTTTTGGGCATGGTGACATCGGGGGATGAGCCGTCGGTGCGTGTGCTCACGAGCGCATCTGTGCCGCTGAGCGAGCTGAAGAGGGTGAACGTGATCGTCTTCAGGTGAGTGAGGATGGATGGGTGAGGGGTGTAATGAGGTTCGTTTCTCATGTGTGTGTGCTGTGGTCAGTGAGCTGCAGTGGAGCCCCACCCCTCCCTCCACCCTGCTGCCCAAGACGGCGCCTCATGTGTCTCCACATGGCGTCCTCCGATCCCTCTTTCCATTACTCACGGCTGACGACATCGCCGTACTCACTCACGACGCGAATGCCCCGGCACGCAAGAAGGTGTGGACGCGAATGTGTGCCCCACACAGCTGATGTGATAGCGGCTGCTTGCGAGAGTGTCTGGTGTGTGCTGTATGTATGTGCGCAGCTGAGGCTGGCGAGCTCGGGTGCCGGCAAGGGTGTTGCTGCTCCGTCGAGTCTCTGCCCACTGGTCGGTCAGCAGACATGCACTCGTCCACGTCGTCTCCTGGCAGACATCTGCGGATGCTTGTGTGGCACGTGTCAGTTGCCGTACCGTTCAGGTGGATTGGCGTTGGAGGGGACGGCGAGCGGCGGCCGTATCCGCAGCGGTCGGTCCAACCTGCAGAGGAGGAGCCACGGATCGCAGCCTGCATAATTGGCCAGTCAACTAGGATCGCAGCCTGAAAGGGGGATGTTATTTGCCTAGTCAGGGGACAGTTTTGTCGTGTGTGTTAGTGCGGTGGGTCGGGTTTGGATGAGTATGTATGTGTCTTGAACTCAAAATTGCGATTCTGTCGTCTCAGTCAATGCATTGCACGTCCAGTATACATCAGCAATCGATTCAAAGACACTCGCTGTCTGTCTGAGTCTCTTACAAAATCGACACGAAGGAAAAGAAAAGTGAGCAAAGGCACGGTCGAGAGAGCCGCCAGCCGCAAGATGGATCGGACGGACGTCAGTTCGGTCAGTGTGAGGTATGGCGTGGCCATTGTGCATTCACCAGTCGCCCATCCGGTAATTGTCCCGGTCGTCACTGCCTGCCTCCGCGGACACACACACACACGGACACACACACACACACAGAGGTGGTCGTTTCAATGAGCACGGCCCACTGGCAGTTGTTTCGTGTGTCCATACCTTCCGCCTCCCCTCCCTCCATGTCTGTTGCCGGCGCCGCCCCGCCCTGGTTCAGGTTATTGTTGTTGTCGCCGATGCCCTCGCCAGGGTTGTTGGGGAGGCGGACGACCAGGTGTGCGACGGTGTTGTGGGTCGTCATGCGGTACTCGCCCAGGGTGTGGCCGTCCTGCAGCTCTTGGCCGTGACACACGATGCGCTGGCGGCTCATCTCGATGCCCTCACTCTCCTGCACGGCCAGCCTCAACTCGTCAACAAGGCCCACACCTAGGCCAAGCCGATGAGACACGGATCACATCGATGCGTCTTGTCAAACTTGTATGTGTGTGTTTGTGTGTGTGTGGCTCTTGTGTGTATGCGCACCGTCGGCAGTGACGGAGTAGGCGGTCTGCTCTCCGCTGATGCGGCGCAAGTAGATGGTGATGAAACGCTTGTTGGCACGCTTGATGTGGTGGGGTGTGCCGTCGCCGATGATGTGGCGGGGGGGTGATGCGCTTGAGGAAGTCACGGTGCCACACCATGCCGTAGCCACGGTTCCAGCCATGGTCCCTGGAGACACACAGACAGAGGGGGTATAAGTGTCTTCATCCATTCACACACACACGGGAGGAGTGTTTCTCTTTCTTATTCACCAGTAATAGTCGTACGCGAATTGCTGCTTGAATGCGTCGAGTGCCTCATGACGGCGCGCCTGCCTCTCCCACTCGCTCAACTCCTCATGCAAAGGGTCGCTGCACGCACACACCAGACAAAACACCACACACATGGATGGATGGACGGATGGATGGCCAAATGCACGTGTCGTTGCTCACTGGTTGATGATGTTGACGTCGAGCATCTGGCACATGGACAGGTACATGCGAGGAAACAGCAGTGCCTCGCGCCACACGATGTCGAGGTGAGCAGGCAGCATCAGGCGGCCTCGACGGTCATTCACCCGAACCTTCTGCACAGTGCACACAACACCACAACACACACAGACCAACACAAACGGATGCATTGAATCTGCCGCTGATTCCCTCCTCTTTCTGTACGAGCAGCATGAAGAGTAGCCAGTCGCGAACGGCCTCTCGAACGTCACACACTCGATAGCCCTGCACCTTCAGCCGATAGATCACATCTGCACCACATATCCATACATTCAGCACAAAGAAGGACGGCATTTCACAACCAGTTGCCCCTTTTTCAGTCGTGTTCGGCTCACCCGCCCACTGCAGTGTGCACATTTGCTCGTAGTACGATGCGAGGTGGGAGGGGAGGTCGTGGTCGAGCGGCGCCGGACGCTCAATGACGTCCATCTGAGAGGTGGTGGTGCACGTGGAGAGGTCCAAGGTACGGTCAATGGATTGGAAATACAATCACAACAGAACCTTCTTGCCTTTTGGAGAAAGAAGGAGGGTACAAAATCAGCGGATGAACGAGATGATGTGCGGAGATGAATATCTGGCATACTCGACCGGCTCGCGTGGTTGTAAACAGGCGAGGCGAGATTTTCGAGACAACCCCTGCAAACCCTTTATTTTTTGTGCATCCGGGAGGTTTCTCCACTCCGGCTTCTTTGCTGTTTACTTACCCTGGTGAAGCGGTGCATTTTCTGCGAAGGGTCGCCGTCCGAAGGAGCACGGGAGAGCCTCCGCCACTCGCCATCGGCCGCACCATCCCCACACACAGACCAGCTACAGCCACAGCAGCAGCAGCCTCCGCAACAAGCTGGTCAGGTCGGTGGAGCGGCCGACGAGAAGGGCGGCGCCTCCATCAATAACCTCTTCACAAGAGCTACGGGTGTTACATGGTACATAGGGACGGAGGGGGAGGGAGGGAGGCCAAATGTGGAGTGATGACGGGCATTGCGTGTGCGTGGCGGTGTGTGATCAGGCAGAGGTAGAGGCGAACCCCTTGGACGTCCAGAAGGTCCTCATCGACATCGCCCGCGAAAATGGCGACAGCACTGCTCTGGTCAAGATCCGTCAGCAGCTGGCTGCCCATGCACCGATGGGTCAAGACTTCTGGACGGAATGGATCAGCGGTAAATACGTCCACACGTACAGACACACGTGAGGACAGACAGACAGACAGACAGCTGAGAGCCTACGATTGCTCACGTGCGTCTGTCGGTTTCGCTCCCAGACATGATTGACGCCGACTCTCCTCCGCCCGAGGTGCTCGAGGTGTGCAAGCAGTCGGTGGAGTTGGCGCCCTCCACCAGCTGCTGGCTGCAGTCCCTCCACCTCGTCGAGACAACTGTACCATCGGTAAGCAGAACCAACCACAACCACACACACCAACCCACACACACATTCACGCCAAGGCGACCACTTGTTTGTCTTGTCTGTCTGTCTGTCCATCAGGTCGGTGTGGAGCAGGTGCGTGGCTTCTACGAGCAGGCCGTTCGTGACGTCGGCCACCACCCTGTCGACGGCGCCAATGGACCGCATGGCGTGAGTATGAGAGCCGAGTGTGCGCTGGCGAGGGAGAGGGCCGCAACGAGGCGCAGGTGATGATGATCCGCCGGCTCTTCCACACAGAGCTGCGGCTTCCGCTCAGCGAGCTGGACAAGACTCTGCGCGCGTACCGGTCAGTCAGTGAGCGGGACGGGACACCGAGGGAGGGAGGTATTGCACTTGTGTGTCTGTCTGTGCGCAGTTTGTGGGAGGAGCAGCGCCGAACGAGCTCAAGTGCGGGTTCGATGAGGCGGAGGCCTGCTACGCCACATCGGAAAGGACGAGTGGGACAAGCGGTAGGAACTCGAGGTGAAGATCTGCAACCCCAAGATACCTTAAGAGGTGAGCGAGAAACCGAGAGAGCCCACCAACCAGCACATCGAGTGCGCATCCATCCATCCGTCCGTCCGTCCGTCGATTTGGTTGTGTGGTTCACTCATTCAGGAGTTGGCGGCGACATGGGACGTTACCTGGGTGTGGAGCTGTGTGAGAGCGACCCCAAGCGCATCCTCCTCACCTACCAGCGTGCCACCCTCGCAATGCCGCATCGACTGGACCTATGGCTCCAGCCCACAACGCCCACAACGACTTACGAATTGACTGGATGCACTTGCCGTATGTATGCAGGTATCTGGGGATACAATTGTTAGATGTGTCCAATACCGGTAAGCACACAGAGAGGCAAGACACATCCAACAAACAGGTTGGCGAGAATGCTCCCACCGAGCCTATCGGACATCGTTCTCGTCGAAGCAAGGTGACTACACTAAGATCACAGGTAGAGCGTGGCAGCGTGCCGAGCATGATCCAGGGTGCTGCCCGGCTCCGTGTTTGTGATGTCAAGATTCATATCGCCGGGTGGCTTTGTCATCTGAAGTCAAAGCACAAGGAAAGCGACATCCGTGAAGCGGCGCGCCACGTGACCCTCGTGTGAGACGCTCGACACACACAACAAGATCGACGGCCCGTTCCAAATGTCAGTGTCTCTCTTCTATCTATTCATGGAAAATGCAGAGCGTGTGGATGACGCCCACGGCAGCGGACACCGCAGCGTGAAGGCTGGTCGGGTGAGGGTGGGGAGGACAGCTGCAGGTGGCTTGGGCGCCCGCGGGAGGGAGGGAAGGAGGGAGAAAGGGAGGGAGGGACAGAAACTTTTGTGATGACGCTGTTGTGTGTGTGTTTGTGTATTGGTGGTGTGTGTTTGTGTTCAGATGGCTGTGGCGAAGAACCCATCGGGCCTGCACAACGGCACGACGACAGCGACCTGGTGGCCGAGACTCAAAGACTGCTGGCTGCATACGCTCCCGCGGGCGACGAATTCTGGACTGAGTGGATCTCCAGTAAGTCCACACACAGCCACACACCCGAAATGGATATCGCCGACTCATCCTCTCTATTGCCGTGTTGCTCGCAGATGCCCTCGACAACCACCGTGATGTGCAGGAGGTCGTCGAGCTGGGCAAGCGGGGGGTTGAGCTGGCCCCCTCCGCCGCCTGCTGGATCGCTTACCTGCACGTCCTGGAGTCGCAACCGTCGGTAAGTTGCCGCGCGCGGAGAGCCACACGCCAACGTCTGTCTGTATGTCTGTCAGATGACTGTGGGGAAGATGCGGCAGGTCTATGAGCAGGCAGTGGACGCAGTGGGGCACCATGCCGTGGAGGGCCCCAAGATGTGGGCTGCCTGGCGAGAGTATGAGGCCCGCGTGTGCGCAAAGGGGAGCGGGGAGAAGGGGGACCACACACAGGCGATCCGCCGCCTCTTCCACCGACAGCTTGCACTGCCACTAAACGGAATCCACAAGACGCTGCGGGAGTACCGGTCAGTGAGCGGGACCCACAAAGAGCGAGGGCGTGCCTCACACGTGTATGCAGCGCCCGTGTGTGTGTGTGTGTGTGTTGGTTGTGTGTGCAGATCGTGGGAGGATAGGCTGCCTGAGGGCCTCAGGACGCCATGTGAGGCGGGTGAGGCGGCATATGCCCACGAACTCATTCAGTTCCTGCTTGTTTGTGCATCCCATTTATTCATGGTCAGAGTGATGCGTCTGCAGCGTGCAGTCCCATGTACAACACCGTCAAGGCCATCGTGGACGACCGCCGCCTCACTGAGATGCGCGTCACACGCTACCCGGCCGTGTGTGTGACTCGGACGGTATGTGTGGCCCCCCAGGGGGGCATTGCTGCCTGCATTTTATATTTCCGCGGCTTATCTTCACGCCACGACAGACTTGCATATTATGTACCTGAGACATGAGTGGATTAAGTGTCCTTCCGTTCGTGTCTCTCTCACACACACACACGTGTGGTCACAAATAAGTAGTATGAATGCGACAGAGACACAAACGTACTCACATGCACGGCCAATGCACACTTCCTGTAGACTCCATGCATCGCATCCACCCAGCCATCCATGCTACATACGTACTTACAAACCATCGCTTCTTTCCACATACGACAGCTGCATGCTCAGCTGCTTCTCCAGCTTTTTGCCACCAGCCTGCACACCCCCCACCACTCGGTGGCCGTTGATCATAGCCGTCGTGCGTGTGAAATCGTCCATCAGCCAACGGGTATAAAATGTAGGCGGCGATATTTATCTGACCGATCGAAGGAGAGAGACACACATATTCGCTCACACTGATGGCGCAAGCCATAGATATCCCTCTCTGACAACTGACATACCGGTCGCGGCTTGCTCCTGGCTGGCCCTGCGCCCAGCGAAGTCCTCCGTCTCTTGGCGCTGTTGGCGATCTGCAACCCACTGCCATGAATCCCTTATATCCGTCACGCAGCAGATATATGAAACGGTAGCTCTGCTTAAGAACACAGAGGAAGGACATTAACACAACACACACATGTGGTGCTGAGAGGAGGGAGGGCATGTATCTATCGTTCCGCCGGCGCCCCACCCACCTGCTCACACGGCACCTTCCAGCTATTGAAGACCTTTAGCAGCTGCATCAACTCTACGGCAACGATATGAGCTTTCCGACGCTCTCGGAATGCAGGCGGGTGTGAGGGGCTGAGAAAGGCGGATATGAGGACATCAGCTGGGGGTCACCGATGACGGGAACAGGCAGCGGCACGGGAGGATAGTGCGATGGCGGCGGCGACACGAATGAGTGTTGCAGTGGAGGCGCATGCATCGCGCCATAGTCCACAGGAAGCAGCAGGGGAACGGTCGGCGGCGCCGTGATGTCGACGGGAGTGCTCTTGCCGGTTTCCACAGTGGGGCACTCTCATGCTGTCGGCCTGAGGCCCGGCCACCTTCTTCACCGTCATGTCCAGGATGTCCGCAGGCTGAGCGGGACCCCCATGTGTCTCATTCCCGTTCTTGGAGTTCTTGGAGTTCCGGTGGTCTTGCACGGGGCGGGGGAACACACAAAGACTGAGATACACAAAAATCTGAGATACACACACGCACACAAGAAGACCACACACAAGAAGACGCATGGTTCCATGTCTGTGTGTGTCCCCCATCCCGTGCTGCACTAGCCATACACACCTGCCTCTGTGGCTCGGGGACTTTGGCCGAACAGGTAGGCGATGCTGCCCCGGGTGCTGGCAGGCATTGATGATGGTGCACCAGCTGCTGGTACCCAGCCACAGCCGTTGAGTTGGCTATCTTGTGGTGGGCCAGCTGCTGGCGCACGTGGGCGTTTGGCTGCTCGGGGTAGGCCGCCACAGCACCCTGATCGGTACTCACAACATACACCAACAACACACAATACAAACAGACACCGGTGCCTTGTCTCGTGTATGTTGTGTACCGTATTCCTTCGGTATGGGCATGTCCGAGCCGCCCACCATGCCCACCCACCAGCGACCCGCAGCGAAGTAGAGGTCCATGTTGCCGGTGGGCAGGATGATGGGCTGGCCCGGCCACACGCGGATCTGGCGGGCGATCGGCACGGCTACGCATCTAAACCACACATACAGCCGCACCCGCAGCTCTGGGCAGGGCTGCGGGTCCCAAATGGTCACCAGCTCGCGTATGAATATTCATCTGCAGACAGGAAGGAAGAGAGGAAGAGACACATCAGATACACCCATCATGCATTCACACACGTATTGATGTGTGGAGGCATCTGCTTACTCGTGATTGTAGTCGCCGCGTGAAGTTGAGTAGTCCGCCACGTACGGCAGGTAGTACTCGAGCCTCCTCAAGAATTGCAGCAACCAAGAGGCACAGACAAGTACGTACGTGCAGGAACCAACGAGTACGCGTCGATGGCTGCGCGGACTCGTCTGTGCATATTGGATGGATGGATGGATGCACTGCTATGTGCTCATTCACAACTTACCACATGTGTGTTGCTGTAGTGGGGGGGGCGGCCGAGAATGCACCAATAGGCACCATCCACCGGCTCGTTTGCAGCAGCTACTCGTAAAAGAATTCGTCGTCGGAGGAGTCGGGCTCCTCTTCCTTCGGCAGTTTGTCGTCCTTGTCGATGTCCGCCTTCCACTTGCCCTGGTTGACCAGCTTGCGGATGTGCCTCACTCTACAAATAACCATGCAATGCAATTGCATCACGGCCCTGCCTGCTGTGGGCTCTGTGTGCATGCCTGTATCCGTACCGGCACTCCTTCATCTTCCTGATGTCCAGATGGTCCATTCCCAGCATCTGGCCTTTGCCGCCCCCCTTTTTGGCCTCGTTTGTGGGGACGAGGCCACACACATACATGTACTGACCTGACGAAGGTCTTCTTGATGGGAGAAGGTGCGCGCACACCGAGTGATAGCAGACAGGCGCCCGGCAGAAGGGCGCCACCAGGCCGGCACCAACGGACGAGTTGGGAGCGGTGGAAGGGGAATGCCGGTTTGCGCTGTCTCCGTCTCATCGCGAAATAATCTCGTCGCGCAGGCGAGGAAACAGCCTAGAAGCTGACGGAAAACAAAAGACGAGACG